TTTTTTTTTTTTTTTCGGGTGGATGCAGTAGGAAGAAAGAAGAGCAGAACGCGAAATGGCTAGGGAAGAAGGAAGAAAGAAAGAGAAAAGAAAAAGAAAAAGAAAAAGAAAAGAAGCTGATCCTTATCCAAATTCCCCTCTTTAAGTCCCTCAAGTTTGGAAATTTTGGCTATTAAGCCCAAAACAATATTTTCTCACAATTTAATCCTTAACTTAATGCTAAAATATCACAAAATTTTGAGGTATTACAGTCCCATTCTTGTTTTTTTTTGGACTTCTGCTGAGTTGTGGCCCCAAGATAGAGTCAACCCACCACTTGACTTTCAGGCCCCTCTGATTTATAAATAAAATAAAATTAAAACCCAATGACCTGCTTTAGTTTGTCAACTTCTTCCAACAATTTGCAAAGTCAAAATTGAAACTTCCGACTGGAATTGAGTGAACTGGGTTAAGTGAGTGAACTGGGTGAAGTGAGTGAAAGATGGATTGTAGGTCTTGTCACGCTCCAATTCATAGGTTTAGGCATAACAAATGGCACATATTTATACTATAACTTTATAAATATGTAAGGTTATCTATCTCTATATTAATACAATTTTCCATAAAATTTTAATGTAACCTTACAACTTTAAAATAAATAATTCCATTAACAAATCTTAATAGTTTTCAAATAATAAGATCAAATCTCTTAACCAAAACATAAAGTGATTAACATTTTATTTTATAAAACCAAATAGCTTGCAATTGAACTATTGCTAAATTCCTGCCAATTGATTATAACGATCTCTCAATTCCTATGCAAAACTCGATACTCAAACTTCTTCACCTAAAATGAGATGAAATTTCAAAATGTGAGTTTAAGAATTTCATAAGTAGTATACCCATTGATCACAATCACGTATAGAAATTTGAAACTGAATTTTTATTGAAAATAAGATGATAAAAGTATATTTCTTTCCTCAAAACCAAAATATTTCATTTTTCATCCCTTTTGAATATGGACAATCCACGATCAATGATACTTAATCATCAATCCACAATACACAATCTATAATTCACAATCCACAAGGGTTAATCAGAAAGCCATGATAAATAAAGGAAACTATTCCAAAAAAAAGCAATTTCAATAATATTGGATTTAGTAAAAAAAAAAGTCATTCTCTAAGAATTAAATAAATCAAAACTGGACAAAACTTATTTAAATCTATAGATTTACTTTAAAAACACTAGAGGGTATAGCTACTTACGTCAATAACTATCTTTCCATTGCAATTACCAGACAACTATTCGAAACCTAAATAAACATAAAAGTAAACATAATTCAATCACTAAGTAAAAGTTTATCCTATATTTTATCAAACACCTACTAAAATAATTCTATAACCCATGCCACTGATATATTCTTCTTTAAACCCAACCATTTCAACACACACTATTAGACACTAACCATCTAAATAAATAATTTCTCAAGCCACTACCCAAATTTACAATTTTATATCAATTCCAAAATCTAATAGTTAAAGTAAAATCAATCTTACTAACAAGGCAATTACCCACCATCTTCATTTTTACATTCTAAAATATTTCACCCATTTTCCCTTCTAGTGTGAGAGTCCCTAATAACAAATTATGACATAAGCTTTTAAATTCCTATCTCCTCATTCTTCTAATCATCAAGATTTAAGTTTAAGAAAGAAACTACCTTTGATTGATCCTGGTTTAGCCAGATCCTTACAGCACCCGTCCCCTTGCAAGCAAGAGGAAGAAGACGTTCCTAATTTCCCAAAAAAGAGAAAGAATTGGAATCTACCGAAGATCTAAACTGTTTTGGGTTTTTCACAAAAGGGAATATTGCCACTTAGTCCCTGTGATATTTTTTCAACTTAGCTAAGCTTGAGGAATTTTTATAGTTTAGTCCCTAAACTCATCACCTCATTATAATTAAATCCTATATTTAATCTTATCACATAAACATCTACTAAGGGCTTAAATAATTTATTTAAATCTTTAAAATAATAATAATAATAATAATAATCCCTAGTATTACATGTCTATATCTTAACTTTTCAATGAGAAAAAATTATGATTAAAATATTATTATATATTTAAGTTGTCACTAATTAAAGAATTAATTTTTAGTAAATTTTTATTTTATTTTTACCTATAAAATAATAAAATTAATATATATTTGGGTGAGACTAAATTATAAAAAATACATATAAGTTAATTTTAAAGTTAAAAAAAAGATATGTAAATGTATATAAAAGGCAAACTCATCAAGGTATTAATTTACAATACAATTATTTTATATTTTTTGTATTAATTAGTATTAAAAAAATAAACATTACCAGATATTTCATTAAATGTCTAATTAAAATTATTAACATGAAATTAGTGTTGAAATTAGTCCCAAAGATTTATATTTTTTAATATCAATTAATAAAAGGAATTCAATAATTGTACCCATAAATTTATTTTTTCTTAGTGCAAATTGGGGTTGTTCGCATCCATCCAAAATGATTGATCTTGACAAAACTAATTTAACTCAATTAAAATCAAATCTAGATCAATATTAATTTTGGTTAGTTTAGGTTATAAAGTTTTAAAATTAATATAAATAATGTAGTTTGTAATTCTACTTTTAAATCAATTGAATCATTCAATTATAAAATAAATTAATAAAATAATATAATATTTTTATTTTTATAATTTTTATAAATATATTTTTAAAATTTTTATTTTTTTATACAAATTGTATTTTAAATTTTCCTTTCTTGTTTACTTTTCTTATTTTTTAAGTGTAATATTTTTTATAGTTATAATATAATATTAGTTGTAGTGACAATTTTTTAAAATATTTATACTATAATTATATGCAACATAATTTAATTAACTTAATTAAAAATTAGTGCAACCTTAAGTTCCTTTATATAGACAAAAACTGTACTTTTAAAACTTTTTTCTTCTTGAGTTGTAACAATTTGAATTTATATTTGTTGGTTGGCTTGTATTTCTTAATTATTTTGTTAGTTTTTATCTTGGTTGGTAGGAGATTATTTTATTCTACCTTACCTATATGTTATGTAACTCGAATTTAAGATCTTTTATTTACTGAAATATTTAAATCATTGATTCTATTTGATTAATTTTTTAATTCTTATTTTTTGTTACTATCATTTTATTATTCATAATGTTATTATCATTTATTATTATATCTTCTGTAATTTGATACTTTAATATTTTATTTAATTATATATATTTAAAATAATATTAAAAACTAATTACTCCGATCAAACTACTAACCCAATTAGTTTGGTTTGAAAATTTTATTATCTTATTAAATTAATTAATAATTTGGTTTAAAAATAGTTCGGTTTTAAAATGTTAAAATCCAATTCAACAGAAATAAACCCTAATGCATATTGACAGAAACAGATAGCTCGGCTCTGCAACTTCAATGGCGACTAACTGCTCGACTACTAGCCAAATGCAAGTTATCGCTCCACAACCAAGCAAGACAACGCCTCTCCACCAGTTCTTCGGTAAGCATTATACTCATCTGCCTTCATCTGTCAATTTTTCCAAACTTCCTGAAATTAGTTTCGGATGATGGAATTGTGTTGTTGAATATATGTCCTTGGATATTGAATAAGGTTCAGTTTGTTTTTCCTGGAAACTGTTGACATAGAAAATAAATTTGTAGAAGTTTTTCCGTCGAAATGATTTACTCTTTTTGCCTAACCTAAGTAATCCTAATTGCTCCACCAAATCAGAAGAAGACTGCAAGTGACCTGATAAGGTTATATGGCTTCGTTTATCATTTTTGAAAAAGCAAAAGAAAGGTTTGAAATCATGTGTTCTTTCTCTGCATTGCAAAATTTTTGAGAAAATTGATTGAAGTAATCCTGACCTTTGAATCGGCTCGTGTGTTTATTAACAATTGTTCCTATCTTTGATTCAGAGCTTTTAAACAATAAGACGGGCAATTATCACTTGAAAAGTCTTTGTTTTTTCCTTTTTGTTAGAAGAAGAAAAAAAGAACTTGAATAACACGAACAGTGGATAACTTCTATTATTATTTTTTGATTGATTTTATGCTGTGGGTATAGCGTGGAGGGAGTTCTTATGGGGATCTATAGCTGGGGCCTTTGGGGAGGGCATGATGCATCCTGTAGATACTGTAAAGACAAGGGTTCAGAGTCAAGCTATTATTAGCGGGAGTCAGGTATGAATCTGTAAATTTCTATTTGATTGGCAATAATTGGTTATTGACACGGGCTGAAGCAATGGGGTTTTTTGATTATCTTGTCCAGAGCCAAAAGAGCATAAGGCAGATGGTTCATGCAGTCTGGAAAGCTGATGGACTACGAGGTATATGATTCTCTATCTTTTATATTCAGTCATATATTTGTGTAGGTGATGATTAGTGCATCATTTTCAATTTTTCAACCATTATAAGTTTTATGTATGATGTATGATTAGTTTTTTATATGATCCATACAATGTGCTCTTAAATTTATATACCATCATGAAAACCTTAAGCAATACATCCCACTGTTATTGACTTTACAGAATTGGGCTTTGAACTGCTGGGACCCTTCTTTTGTTAATATGGTTCTGTAAATATGGTGCTACAGAACCACCAGATTGTGTAAATATTTAGTTTGCTTGGACTGATAAGTTTTTAGGCTTTTATAGGGGTATAACTCCTGGTGTCACTGGATCTCTAGCAACTGGAGCAACATACTTCGGTTTCATTGAGTCTACCAAAGGATGGATTGAAGAATCACATCCTAGCCTTGGGGGTCACTGGGCCCATTTTATTGCTGGAGCTGTTGGTAATTTGTTCTGGAATTATCCCACCATCCAATTCATTTCTTGATAGGATCCTACTCATTTTCCCTTTATGGAGAACATCCTAATGGTGTTTTGCATATTTAGTTCACCCCAATCTTATTATAGCCTTGTCTTTTGCTTACCATATGCCATCCCATTAGTGCCAGTAAGTCAACAGTTGGCATGTGCTAGTGCACTCAAATGCTGCCTTCTTATTCTATATTCATTTCAGGTGATACACTCGGTTCATTTGTATATGTTCCATGTGAAGTGATGAAGCAACGAATGCAGGTTCAGGGCACAAGAACATCATGGGGTTCTGCAATGAAGAACAACCTGGTGGTAAAACCTGGTTTGCAAATGTATGGATATTACTCTGGAATGTACCAAGCTGGTTGTTCAATTTGGAAAGAGCAGGGATTAAGAGGACTATATGCAGGGTAAAGACTTGTTTCTTTGGATGTTTGATTGAAATGTTTAAAAAACGTCTATGTTTGACAAGTTCCAATTTACAAAGTCCACATTCATGCTGATAGACACTTACACCTTCAAACCTCCAAAAAGTTGCATGTGCTTCACAACTTATTTTGTGATGAATGCCATAGTTAATAATCTATTACCTGCTATGTCTGATTTTAGCATTTCTGTTGTTTAAAAAGTAATTCCTGTGAGCATGCTTTTAATATCTTCCACTCATTCTCTCTTTTCTCCTCTTTTCTGTTCACTTCACTTCTTGTTTTTCAACCTTTATGGAGTTGAAAAATGTCTTCCAATCCCAAAGAAGCACTATAGGCTTCCAGGAATGAACTATTCTGAATTAGATGATTTTAACCTAGTTGATAAGATTGTTTTATGGAGCATTTTCAATTTTAAGGTTGGTGTCTGTTCCTTATCTGAGTGCAAAATTGTAATTCTCTCTCATTGCTTTGGCAGATATTGGTCCACACTGGCAAGAGATGTGCCATTTGCAGGTCTTATGGTATGTAGATATTTTTTTTAAGTCTCCAATATAAAATGCAATACATGAACTATCTCAATCCATCTTTACAGATTTTACAGTATAATCATCTTTATGTAGTTTCAGTCTTGTAACACTGATATCTTGTCTTCCATGCTTTAGATTAGAAGAGAAAATAAGGATTGGAACTTGGAAGATCTATTTTATATTATAAGAAATCAGTCGATCATCAAGATCTTGTCTACATAACAAGAAAAATTTCCTTTTATACACGTGCTTTATGCAATAAATGCTCAAGTTGGTTTTGGACATGCATCTGTAAGCAACTAACCTACCATACCATGTAGGTCTTTCTCCTGCGTATTACATTTCCCTTTTTTTTTTATTATTTCTTTTACTCATCTGTTGAGATGCATGCTCATGCAAGCATCCGTTAAGTTGAATAATGCACTATTTGTTATGTCTTGAGTGTGTTGGTCAACAATGAACTGCCATCAAGGTCCTTTTTATTTCTTTGGATGTTTCTGTATAAAGTAAAATACACAAAGTGGTGATCTGCATTTACATGTGGATAGTGAATTCACTTTGACAACCATTTTTCACTTTGCATCTCCTCAATAGTTATTCTGAGAAGCAAATTCCCTGCAGGAATCATAACTACTGTGATCTGCACTTTTCAGGTTACATTTTATGAAGCTTTGAAAGATTTAGCAGAGTTTGGGAAACAAAGGTGGTTTCCAACTTTACATCTTAATAGTTCAATCGAGGGACTGTTGTTAGGAGGGTTGGCTGGTGGTATGTACCTTTTTCTTCTGCCTTGTCAAAGATTGTGCAGTTTTAAGCTGTGATTGTCAGTGTTGTCAATAGTCGGCACTATAGCAGCATAGCATAGTGGCCAGCTATGATGCTATGGAAATTCTTCATAGCATGGCTGAAATTCAATAGTGGCTGCTATTTCACTTTAGTGGACACCATTTAATATGTCCAAATTAATCCCACATGAGACAATCAAGTTAAATTTTTCAAGGTTAATTTTGCCTTTTTAGTTTTCCCTTTATTTAAAAAATAAAAATAGGCTGAAAACCCTATAAGATAAACAATTGAAGACTTTAGATTTCCAAACAATTCTGAAATCTGAAACATTGCTGCACCGATCTTCTCTCACCCATTGGATGCCTATCTTCTCTCACCTGTCATGCGGCGCTGATCTTTTCTTGCCCATGCTCAACAATGTAGTTGTCCTCTCCCTCATACTTGACATAGCCAATAGAGGGAGTGCAGAGATTAGAGATGGGTGGTAGTATTAGTTAATCCCTAGTACTTATACTCTAGGTTGTCTTTAGGCACAAAAACATAAAGACAGAGAGAAATGGGGGAGAAAAGAGAAGATGGGTGAGAATAACATAAGTGAGAGTTTAAGCAAAATGATATGGGTTTGTGAGGGTTTGGGGTTTAGGTGAAACAACCCTAATTCTTTTTTGTCTTTGATGATATCTATGTGAGTGTAATGGTTTGATTTCTTAGAAATATTGGGAGTTACCTATATGGGTAATAGTTGTACTTTTCAAAGGAACTCTGTTAGAATTTGCTTTCCTTGAGAGGTGATTACTGATATATAGGATGTTAGTGAGGCATGGAAAAGAGGGACACAAGAAAGAGACTTAACAGAAGAGTGAGCACACGCAGGCAATGCTATGAGATAGCATATGTTTGTGTGTGTGCTCACTTCTCTTAACTGTTTTACTGTCTTGTTTGATTTTTATGAGTTATGATTTTTATTTGTTGAGATTTGAGAATATTGTTTTGTGATATTTGATCATTTTTATAAGCTATTAGGTCATTTTATTCCTTTCTCTTACTAGGTTGTCTCTTATTTTATTCTTTTTTTTCTTTGTTTGATAGAAATGATAGATTTCATTTTACTGATACTTGATAAACTACATCAACTTTATCTATGACATGCCTTATAAGCTAAGAATCAACTGCCTATAACACTAGCATATAGAGATGTGCCCTATGCAAATGCATCAATTAAGTATTGAGAGCTCCTATATTAGTATCATTAGGGTATTGAAAGGCCAAAACGAGAGTTACCTTCTTCAAGCATCCATGAGCCTTGAATAACAGTAGCTACAACACAAAAAGCTAGGGGAGAGCAAAACAAAGCTCTAGAACAATCCCATGCCCACCATAGCAGAAGGCACAATCAAGTACTAACCAGTAGGGTGGATGAAAGCATTACCAAAGTTGTACCAGAATTATCCACCAAAATCTTTGAAGCACAACCCTATCCCTCCCACAAAGTTCCAGACTTCCTCTTCCCCTTTGTGTCCCTCATCATATTCATGGAAGATAGTGAGTCTTTCCCAAAGTCTCTTCCACTTACCTTTCACTCCTTTCTTTTTTTTTTTCTTTTAGAAAATCTTCCAATTTGAGCCAAAGGAATATCCACCTAAGACTGCACCTCTACCATGATTTCAATAGATACCTTATAAGTGGCTCCTCTAATGTTTTCTCAGTATGGTTTTCCTAAACTGGAGCTCAGTCTAGCCTCTCCAATGGTTTCTTTTTGCCACTACCTCAATTTCCCTCCCCTCTTTCTACATCATGATGTTGCTGCCTTGAGAGAGGTGTCGTGTCAACCTCATCTGCTGAAAAATTCTTTTGTGAGGCTTTGTTATTGAGCTCATCCTCTAATTCCTTGATTATCCTACTCATCTTCACTAACACCCGTAAATCTTCTTCATCCTCAGGTTCCCAACCTTCAACCTCAGCCGTCAACCGACTACCAAATTGTTTTGATACCTTCAGTCTCACAATTGTTCTCAATATGACCCATACAACCGAAGACATAACAGTGTTGTCAAAAGTGGTTGCTTCAGTGATCAGAGGCACTATCACTTCAAAATTTCTGAAGTGATCTACTTAAAAGAAGCTGTCCCAAAGCAATTGAAGTGAAGTGAAGCAATAAAAGCGCTCTGATGTTGAAGTAATTGCTTCTTTAAAAGACACAAAATGACAAAAAACCACTAAGAATAAAAAAAAGTATAGAAGCATTAAGGGTTTAAATTGGAATTTTGACTCCAATTAGGGCAAAAATAGGAAGCTTTATGCCTGCCAACTACTTAAAAGAAGCGGTCCCAAAACAATTGAAGCGAAGTGAAGCAATAAAATTGCTCTGATGTTGAAGTAATTGTTTCTTTAAAAAGGCACAAAATGACAAAAAACCACTAAGAATAAAAAAAAGTATAGAAGCATTAAAGGTTTAAATTGGAATTCTGACTCCAATTAGGGCAAAAACAGGAAGCTTTGTGCCTGCTGACTACCTCTTCCCCTAATTTTCTTTGTGATTCCATTGTCTTTTGACTTCATCATCTTCCTAAGTCCTGACTTCATCAGTTCATCTGCCATTAACAGAAAAGTCCTTTCATTTTTTCATTTTTCTTTTTGTTTTCCCTCCTTTTTTTTTTTTTTTTTTTTTTTTAATTTGCATATTCTCCTTCCCATCTCTTCTTCTTCCTTGACTTCATCGTCTTCCCTAACTTTATGACATATTCTATTCCTTTTTTTTTTTTTCCTAATATCTTAATTTAGTTAAGATAAAGTTTCATGTAAATATTATTAGAATTCTCTAGTATTGTATTAATTCCATGCATTTCCTTTGTATCCCTCCCTTTATCTTTTAGTTCTATTTCTTGTTGGTAAACTTATAGTATTCAGGTCTATCTAGTCTAGGGGACCTTGATTAAGAAACTTAATATCATCTCTACAGTATAGATTGAAATAGGCAGTTTTTCACTTTGTAAGACTCCTGGATTTTAATTCCAAAACAGAATTTAGTTCTACTTGCACTAAGTAGAATTTAATTTAAACCTCTTACTTGCACCGTATTCTACTTTTCCACTCTTAATACTCTTAAGTTTCTATTCTAATTAGTTCTACTTTGTTTAATAATTGATCACTTTAGAGTGTTACTTCACTTTAAAGAAGCTTCTTGCTTTGCTTCTCACTTCATCTCTTTGGCATTTTTTAGGCCATTGCTTTGCCTCGCTTTTTGCCTTTGACAACACTGGGACATAACAAAATTTGGGTAACTACTCATATTTGATTTTCACCTTTCTCACATCAGATTCTGCCAAGGTTGTAAAAAGCGTTAGGTGATGGTGGGCGATTGCCCATAGCCTAGTGCCTAGAGTGCCTAGGTGGTGCCTAGGTGGTACCTAGGTGGTCTAGGCGGTTTTTTTTAATAAGTTTTTTATATAATAATTAGAAAATAGGGGGAAAAAGTGAGATAAATTTTAAAATTGCATCTGCTGTTGAATACAAATTTTAATAAGAAATCAAGAATACAATAATAAAACAAAAGTTTCAGTTTTGAAAATGAAAGTTCAAAGTTTTCCATGAAATTATAAGATCAACATACTTTGAACCCAAATTAGGAACTCAAAGATGCGCTCAAATTTTGGAAACAAAGCAATTTGGAGGTAAAGTATTACAGAGGACTAGAGCCCTGATATTAGAACATGATCAACTTCACTATGGGGAAAAAAAGAAAGACAAAACGAGAAAAAAAAAAGAACTAAATTACTATTTGAGTGTTGTTTTGTGTTTATATGCATCGAAAAATCAAAGTGGATTTGGGTTTGGAAGTGGAAAATGAAGGGTCTCATTGTCTCAAAAAAGGAAGTGGGAAGAAGGCACAGTGAAAGGCTAGGAGCAGGCAAATGGAAATGGATATAAATAGGAATTTAGGTCCTTTTTTTATAATATTTTTTTATAACAAAGAAAAAGACATTGTTCCATTAATTTGCAAAAACAAAAAAAATTGCCCAGTTGCTATTAGGCACAATTAAGTGCGTCTAATAGCGCCTGAGCCCGCTTAATCCAGTTAGGCAGTTCAAACCGCACAAAACCACTGACTAGAGGCCAATGCGATGTGGAAAGCCACCACCCAACGACTACATGGCGCCTAGGCGTGCTTTTTGCAACAGTGGATTCTGTCACCTTAGTTATGTTCTCTTATTTTGTTTATTAAATTTATATTTTTTGTTTCCTTTAATGGCTGCTATTGATGCTACCTGCAACACTATCTTAGCCAATTTTGGACTTTCTGCTATTTCCTGCTATTGGCTATTGATAACACTTGCGATCATGCTGGGATATTAAATATTGCACCAACTTTATCTAATAATTTAGATAACATTCAGGGTTTAGTGCATATCTCACCACTCCCTTGGATGTCATCAAAACAAGATTACAGGTGCAAGGATCTTCAACAAGGTAACAATGGCTCTTCCATAATGAACATATTCTATTAATTATAGAGTTGATATTATTTGAATTTTATGTCACAATTTGAGTATTCAAAGGTAATTGTTTGTAGTCCCATGTGAGATGACCTTGGTAGAGTAGTTCTGTTTTTCACAACTGGCTGTCTCACATATTATCCCACCTTTTATTCTGTAACCAGAGTTTACAGATATTCCTGCTTTCTTTCTGCTTATGTATCTGTTGCAATGCCTGTGCATACGGACTTCCCTACACAGAATGCTTTCTTATATATACTTGATTTGAATTTGTAATATTTTTCTGATCTATCAGGTATACCGGCTGGTCGGATGCAATTTACAGGATCTGGAAAAACGAAGGTGTAACAGGAATGTTCAGAGGAAGCATCCCCCGGATCACATGGTACATCCCAGCTTCTGCTCTTACCTTCATGGCTGTTGAATTCCTGAGAGATCATTTCAATGACGAACTAGATGATAACAACATGCGAGATGTTACAAACTTGTTAATAGAGAATCCGGGATAATCTATGAGGGACTTAGCATAGATCCAGAGCCATTTTTTTGTGAAGACGATGCACCTAATAGAGTAGTCACAGATATTCTGGACATGCTTAAAAACGAATAAAAATGTGTAAATTGCGGAATCTGTCTCTGCTAAATGAAAGTAATCCAAAAAATTTGCAACTCTCATATCGTACATTTGGATTGGTTTTTGATAACGATATGAAAGGAAATTCTATGCATTCTGGCTTTTTTTTTCTTTTTTTTTTTTTTTTACTTCGATTGCATCTGTTATTCTTTAATTTTTCATTATAGATTTTGGATTTTTTATTATTTAATTTTTGAATTTTATAATGATTTTTTAATTAAAGTTAAAAGATTTTAATTAAACGATTAAGATTGGGTAAAAAATTACTTCTAGTAATTAATAAGGGTATTTTTAAAAAAAATTGTATAGCCCTGTTAAAAGAAAATAATATAGAGAGAATTCAAAAAACACTCATATCATTCTTTATTTTATAATTTAAATGTATCTTTATTCTTTTTGGAATATTCAACTATTAACCTATTTAAAAATTTAGAGTATATTTTTTCTTTTTTAATTGAAAAACTACAATTAAATAAATATCAATATCAATATATTATATATGCATTGCATTGATAATTTTAAAGTTTATTTGGTATGATTAAAACTTTTAATAGAAATTTTATTTATAAAAATCTATTATAAAAATCTTATTTATGAGAAGTAGAAGGTGTTTAGTAAAATTTTTACACAAATACTTTTAAAGTTTGAAGTTATTTGGTAAATTTTTTAAAAAAAAACTTTTAATCAAATATAATGTTGAAATAATTGAAAAAGACATTTTTTTAGGGTACCATCTCTAAATTATTTCTAGCCTTCAAGATTACAAATGAATTCTTTATATTTATAAAATAAGGACAATTTTAATAAATAAATATTTATATTTTAATATTAAAAAATAAAACATGCGTGGACACCTCAACTTAAAATTTCAATAATATAAATTTGTTGAAAAATTAAGTTTTAATGACAAAAAAGGGAGCTACTATGATACGAACTATGTCAACTTGTGACGAAACCCATAAACAAGACAAGGCACCAAGATCGTTTCTAAGACAAGCTCAAGATGATGGAACCACAACCCGTTACCTATAACGAGGTAAGAACCTTGGTATGGAGAACACGTCACAATCAACTATGGAAGGGTTGATTGATAAGTCGATGATGTACGCCATAGATAATTCCGATAAGTTCAAAATTTTGTTCAAAGAACTAGAGATAATTCGTTCTCACAATGTCGATGAATAATGATCTGTCTTACAACTAGGATTGCAGCTCTATAAATAGTTAAAACTAATCCTAACCAGAATAAGAAACTAATAAACTAGGTCCTAACCCTAATAACTATGAATTTAGGCTTCAACTAAATGAATGTTTAGCCCAAATAACACAACAAACGTAAAAATAAACTAAAATAACCTAAGAACATTGTGAAATATTAGTTTGCGGTCAATTGCGGCATATTTGACGTAAAATGTGTAATTCAACCCAAGAAAGAAAAAGTTGGCATGCAAGCCAAAACCCAAAAAGGAAACTAATAAATTTGAGCCAGAATGCTTGTTGAATTCACACCCAAAGTTCATGACTATTACTTGCAAAGATTAGGCTTGGCTTTGACAGAGTCTTTTAGAACTTGGATTAGGCTGATGTAATTCTGAGGCTCACCTAGACTTCCCTCAATGGGCCTCCATGAATTTGCTTGAGTCCATATTTCTCAAATCAGCCCATTAAGCGCTTTCTTGAACTTTTTAGCTCAAGCCCTCGTAACTGGTCCAATGGGAACTTGAATTGCATCCTTTCAAGTCAAACCTGGATTTACATCATTCCCTCCTCTTGAAAAGGATTTGTCCTCAAATCGTCTACTGCATCAAAAGGACTCGAATCAGTAACATTGAAAGTAGCACTAACATTGTACTCACCTGGTAAATCTAGTTTGTAAGCATTATTGATGATGCGCTCTAAGACTTGGAAAAGACCATCTCCTCTTAGAAGCAATTTGAAACACCTTTGGGCTGGGAATCTTTCTTTCCTCATGTGCAACCAAACCCAATCTCTAGGTTCGAAGACCAGCTTAGAACGCCCCTTGTTGGCTTGCTTTGCATATTGCTTTGTTCTTTGCTCAATGTTAAGTCTTGCCTTCTCATGGATCTGCCTCACAAAATCAGCTTTCCTTTTGCCATCTAAATTAGCACGGTCAGACATCAATAAAGGAGATAAATCCAATGGAGTTAATGGATTAAACCTGTACATTATTTCAAAGAGTGAAAATTTAGTAGTAGGATGAACAGTACGATTATAAGCGAATTCAACATGTGGCAAACAATCTTCCCAAGTTTTAATGTTCTTACTAATGAGAGCCCTCAACATAGTTGACAAAGTCCTATTTACTACTTTGGTTTGAGCATCAGTTTGTGGGTGACAAGTGGTAGAAAACAATAGTTTAGTACCTAGATTACTCAACAAAGTCTTCCAAAAGTAGTTCAAAAACTCAGCATTTCTATCTGAAACAATTGTTCTAGGCATACCATGTAATCTCACAATCTCCCTAAAGAACAAATCAGCAATATGTGAAGCATCATCCGTTTTATGACATGGGTTAAAATGAGCCATCTTAGATAACCTATCAACAACCACAAAAATTGAATCTTTTCCATGCCTAGTCCAAGGCAAGCCTAACACAAAGTCCATGGAAATATCTATCCAAGGTTCACTGGAAATAGGTAGTGGCGTATACAAACCATGGGTTGCACTTGGGATTTTGCTTGCCTGCACGTGATTTTGCTTGCCTGCACGTGACACATCTACCACAAATCCTCTCAACATCTCTTTTCATGTGTAGCCAAAAGAAGTGTTCCTACAAAATAGCTAAGGTCTTAGCAACCCCAAAATGTCCCATTAACCCTCCGTTGTGGGATTCCCTAACTAGCAAATCATGCAAAGAATAATTTGGTACACATAACTTATTTTCTCGAAACAAGAAACCATCATGCCTATAAAACTTACCAACTGCATTTTTCTCACAAGCTCGAGACTCCTCACAAAAATCTTGGTCTAAAGGATATAATTCTTTAATGTGCTCAAAACCAAGTAATTTTGCATCAAGGGTAGAGATTAATGCATACCTGCGAGAAAGTGCATCCACAACCACATTCTCCTTACCTTGCTTATACCAAATGACATATGGAAACATCTCGATGAACTCCATCCATCGTGCATGCCTCTTGTTCAATTTATGTTGACCTTTCAAGTGCTTCAATGATTCATGATCTGTGTGTATCACAAACTCTTTGGGCCAAAGATAATGCTGCCATGTTTTTAATGCCCGAACCAATGCTTATAACTCCTTATCATAAGTTGGATAGTTTAGAGCTATCCCACTTAGCTTTCCACTAAAATACGCAATTGGTCGACTGATGGGAATCAAGATGACCCCACATGTACCACATCAAGAGATCCATTACACATTCCAGGAGGTCCAATCACGAGAGCTAGAGCTGGGAAGATGCGAGAAGCTTTAAATGGCCTTATTGAGCAGATCTGGGTTGATAACAACATACAACAAGCAAATCGAAGCTTGGATGATTATCAAGGCA